TCTTTCCCTGTTCAAGGACTCCTGATCTTTCCTTTTCGTCTTAATCGAGTGGGGAAAACCAGGCAGAACTTACTATCGCCGGAAATCAGCATACCTCGGCAGGGAATACCTAAACTATAGTCATCTGGTCCAGGGTGTCAGGGTGGAATTAATTACGTAAAACTTTCCGGAAGGGTGTGAGCTGGGATTTGCAAGGGGTAGTGACCTAGTTTGAAGGGAATGCAAAGATTTATTGAAAGTGATTGTGATTATGTGGCTGGTCATACATTCAGATAGTGTAACATTGTGTCATTTAAAAAAAATTAATTAATTAATTTATTTTAAGGGAGGTTTTTGCTATAGGGCGCGGGCTTGCCAGAAAGACAGAGAGAGGCAGAGAGACAGAAAGCGAGAAATCACCGCGGGAGGGGGGGGGGGGGGGCGCACAGCAATCCCTTATCCTCCATTCTCCTCTTCAGATCTTGGGAACACATGCACACACACCTGGCGTGAGTTTAAGCCTCTTAGTCCAGGACTCGAACTGCGGTCAGCTACAGAGGAGTCAAAAGACATAGCCATTACGCTAACTGCTGGTCCCAGTGTCATTTGATCAGGGAATAAATCAGAGCAGAAATTTGAATGACAGAAGTCATGGAATCCCTCTCTCTCCTCCTCCCCACCCATGCTGCCCCTTTTTAAAAAAGTAAAATCAAATTCCAGGTTCTCAGGGGTGACCAGAGAATTTGCAGCCCCAACTCTCCAGAAATACACCTTTTTTTTTGGAGAGATTTTTCACTATAGGGCGCGTGTGCTCGCCAGACAGACAGACAAAGACATAGAGACAGAAAGTAAGAAATCACCCCCCAGGGAGGATGGTCACGCCGCAATCCCTTCTCCTCCATTCTCCTCTCGGGATCTTGGGTACACACGCACACGCGAGTTTCAAGCCACCGGGTCTGGGACACAAACCTCGGCCGACTATGTGGGAGTCCAGCGACATAGCCATTACGCTAACTGCTGGTTCCCCAGAAATACACCTTTCTGTAGTGATCTACAGCATAACTGAGGCAGGGCTAGAGCAATAAAGACACCTTCCCAGATCTCAGGAGTAATTAAAGGAAAAATGAAGCCAGAAGGGACCCAAATCAGCATTCTTAGCCCTCTAAGACACACTGGTTTCAAAGTTGTTTAGGTAGGAAGAAATTCATTACCCATGATAAAGTGTGTTAGAAGTTTCTAAAGACTTAAACTTAATACAAATAAGTGAAATCAAAGTTATTCCTATTGCAAAGTTACTCTTGCTTATTTTCTCATATATATATTTTTTGTGAGCTGCAGAGAGAAAGATGAGAATGTTCTGGACACAATAAAGAATATGCCAAGACTCTAGAAAATGGCTTTCTTAGGGTGGGGAAGGAGAAGAGGTGAAAATACTGAACTCTAGGGGGCAAAGTTTACAAGGTGTGGTGCATTCATTTTCAGGTGTGTCCTCCCACAGGGAAGTTTGAAGTCCTAACTTTGCAGATAGTCTCTCTTCCCCATATGATTGACATGAGGTCTGTCCCTCCACTTCAGGAGAGCTCTCACTCCATGACAAACAGAGGTACTCTAAGGAACACAGCTCTGACACACAGGGTGTCATGTGTGTGCATGGAAGAATGAGTGTGTGCATGGAGAAATGGGATGAGAAGGCAGTTTTCTTTATAAATGTTTGCAGCAGATATAAAAATTCAGGCACCCACTGTTATATGTAGAAGAAAAATAAGAAATGGCAAGTGGCCTGAGCCACAATTTTTCTTGTATCATTTGCGCTCTGTGCAAACATTTATAGGGTAGACACCATGGAGACTGTCAAGATGGATAATCCATTGCCCCTGCCTTCAGGTAAATTCTGGTCTACTGTTGGAGATGATTCAGATGGAATTTGAAGAAAGACAAGAACTGCTAAATCTGTCCATCTTCAGTGAGTGAGCTCTAACTCTGGTCACAGGTGCTAACTTGGAACAATGACATAGAGGAAAGGAAACCTCATGACCTAGTGGGCCTACTCAGGGCTGTGCCTTTTCTTTCCAATAAAGGTTTTGGCCTCCTGGGCCCAGTTTTGAAGCCAACTGTGGCTCAGTGGCCCTTGTAACTACAGGGTGAATCCTTGTACAGAATACAGGGAAGCAGAGATAACTCTCCACTTGACATATCCTCTCTCTTCCCCCAGTTTTCCCTCAGTTAGCTAGAGCCCAGGATTTATTGTGAGGGTATGGAAAAATAGGAGCTCTAGGCTTTCCACATAATATTATGAATTGTGGTTATAAAGTATTAAGATTTATGGTTTCTATGATGTGAGATTTCACCACCCTACTCATTAACCTAAAGAGAAAAGGTATTGGCAACATTGTTCATTTTGAGAGAGATTTTTGCTATAGGGTGCATATGCTTGCCAGAATGACAGAAAGTGAGAAATCACCTCCAGGGGGGATGGCCATGCCACAAGCCCTTCTCCTCCATTCTCCTCCTAGCATCTTGGATATGCACGCACACATACCCAGTGTGAGGTTTAAGCTACTGGGTCCAGGACTTGAGCATGGTTGACCAAGTGAGAGTCCTGTGAAGTAACCATTATGCCATCTGCTTGTCTCATTGGCAACATTGTTGAGGACAAGCCAGTTGTAACTTTTCCCTGAGTTTTGTAGTCTACTAAAAGCAAATTAACAAATTTACTGAAGATCTGTAACTACCGGATTGGATTAAGAACAAAATTTGGAGTTTTAGCCCACCTGGAATTGACAACCCACTTAATAACTCTTTAGGTAAGATAAATAAAACAGACAATATATTCATTTAAACAGCATTTTTCAGGGTATTTAAGTACCTTATGCTTTTCTCCTTTTGATAATTTCAGTGCATTCAGAACCTTCATGGATGCTCAAGTCCCTTATGTAAAATAGCATAAAATAGCACATAACCGACACATAGCCTCTTGTATAGAACACGTTTAGTTTTTTCTTGATTAGTTATAATACAGAATACATATCACTTCATTTCCATAAATTTAGTGTGGTAAATTCACTTTTTGCTTTTGAAACTGTGGATTTTTTTAAACTTTTTTGTTTACAGTAGGTTGAATTCATGGATGAAGAACCTGGTGACACAGAGGACTAATTATATTAGCTTGGAGAAAACAAAGATGAAACTGGAGAAGGACGGCTATTAAGGGATATCAGCAGTGGATGGATGGAAATGAGGGGTGTGTAGGAAAGAGTCAGGGATCATGCTGGGATTGCAGGAAGAATACCAACCTTAAGACAGTAAAATCTTAGAACACAAACGCAAGGAGCAAAGAGAACTCTGTTTTCAAGATGCATAAAGGCATCTTCTGGAATACCCTTCTTCCACACAAGATTCTTTTGTCCAACTGTATAGTAGGTAAAAGGATAGATTGTATTCATCCTGCTTCTCACCAAAATAGCCTTCCTTCCCTCTTCCCTCTCTCTTTCTAGTACTCAGTTCCTCCTCTAATATTCAGTTCCGAGATTTACAGTGGAAGAAAAGTAAGAAAATATGGAACCATGTACTTATGGAACAGGAAAAGATTTAGAAATCAGTCTTAAATGATCAGATGATTGAACTATATGATTATAGTACATGATGACAAGAGTGGTTAAGTATGTCTGAGGTTAGTCAGCTACTTAGGACTAGAATCCACCCTGTATTTGTGGGACTGAAAATTTTATTTAATTTTGTCATAAGCTCATGGTAACCCAAAGAAAAGCATACAAAGGTATGTGTATGTTGTTTTAAGTCTCCTTGCTTTTTTTCATAATTTAGGTCAAGATGGGATTTATATTTTCAAAATCTATGAATGAAAACATGAAAAATCAACAGGAGTTCATGCTTATGAATGCTCGACTTCAGGTATGTTTTAAGCTAATTAAATGATTACATTGTTGTAGTGCTTAAGTTTTTAACCATATGTACTTCAATAATATATTCTCTTTCACCCTCAAAATAAAATACTCCTAGGCTCCATCCTCAAAGACAAAATGAAATGGATCACTAATTACCTGATGAATGGGCTTGCTTAAATCTCTAATCCAGATTCTTATTTAGAAATTTTCATAAACCTAGAAAAGATAGCTGCTTAGAGAATGTGGTAGAGAGAATAATGCTCTGTCCCTACCCTTCCCCGAAGATATCCATGTCCTAGTTACCAAGACCTATAAATATGTTACCTTACATGGCAAGACACTTTGCAATATGATCACTTAATAAGGTTGGTATGGGGTGATTATTCTGGATTATCTAGGTAAGGCCTTTATAATTGCAGGGTCCTTATAAAAGAAATAAAGAAGCAAGCATGTCACAGTGAAGGAAAGAGAAGGGGCTGGGAGAATATTTGAAGATGGTATACTGTTGGCTTTGGAGACAGAGTGAGGGTCATGAGCCAGGGAATTCAGGTGGCTTCCAGAAGGTGGAAAAGGGAAGGAAATAGTTTCTCCCCTAAGGCCTCCAGAGGGAAAAAAATCCCACCTACCCATTTTGCCTTGCACTTCTGATTTCAGAATTATAATATGTTTGTGTTATTTTATGCTGTTAAGTTCACAATCATTTGCTATAGCAGCAATAAGAAACTTATACAGAAAGAGAAAAGATCAAAGCACAAAAGGAGATTGTCTAATTGCCTAGCACACTATTAAAAAAATATTTTAAATGTTGCAAAGGTGTTAAATGCTTGACCCTCCTTCAGAGGGAAGTTTTAAGGATTAAAGATGATACATAATGTACAAAACAATACCTCAAGTCTTTAGAAAAATGCTTCTCTGTAAGTATTAGTGGTTGCTGTTGTTGGTATTAAAGACCAATGAGAATGTCTTGTGCAGGTTAAAGATTCTTTTGGGGAAATGAAACAGGAAAAAAGAATAGACAACAGAATCATTTTAACCTAGGGAGGCAAAATGACCTAGGAGAGAACAGATACTGGGTTATCAGGAAAGTCATGATTCAGTTTTGCATAGGAAAACATTGGAAAATACATCATGCCTTTCCCAATGACCCAATATAAGGTATACAAATCAGCCTAGTATGTTAGATTCTTAGAGCATCCTTGTCAAAGTCCTTTGGAAACTACAGGACTTTTATTTTTATGTTAGTCTCCATTAAGTAAAGGTCTTTGAAGAGTCTAGGATTTTACTCTACTTGCAAGCTAATAAGTAAGCCTGCTGCTACAGAAGATGGGAGATACCTCTGTCAGAAACAGAGGATTTTATTATTCATAGGATAGCAAGCAGCATCAGCATGATGTTGGTGTCTGGTGTCGATTTCCCATGCACGCCAAGACTCATGAAGTGACAAAGGTTGGCATGGGCTTAAATGGGTGCTATGTACTCTGTGGATTTGTGTTGTATTTGAGGACTCTACAGTTTTTATAGTGAGCAGTGAGCAAGGGATGGGAATGGAGGAGAGATGACCCTAGGGTGAGCCAGTCATACACTCAAATGTTATCTTTATTTAACCAGCAAATGGACCTTTTCCCTGAAATTGTTGTGTCTTTGTTGACCCACCCCAAAATGAGGATGTTGGCCTGAGATTCACAAGGCTCCCACTGGGTCACATTTTTAACAAGAGTTCACTGAAGGCCCCCTGTTTAAAGGGATGTAATATGTTGAATTGTGTCTCCTTAAAATTGTTATGTTGAAGTCCTAACCTCTAGTACTTCAGAATGTGACTTAACTTGGAGATAGAATATTTACAGAGATAATTATGTTAAAATGAGTCCTTACAGTGGACTCTAATCCAATATGACTGGTAGTTTATAGGAAGAAGATATTTGGATATAGAGATTTTATACTGGGAGAATATAGTACAAATATGAAGACAGTCATCTGCAAGCCAAGGAAAGAGGCCTAAAATAGACCTTTCCCTCACAGCCTTTGCAAGGAGCCAACCGTGCAGATACTTCTATCTTCTAGAAATGAGACAGTAAAGATCAGTTTCTCTCTTTCTTCTTCTTCTTTTTTTTTTTTTAAAGAGGTTTTTGCCTTAGGGCGTGTATGCTCACCAGAGAGAGAGAGAGAGAGACAGACAGACAGACAGACAGAGACAGAGAGACAGAGACAGACAGACATAGTGAGAGGGGAAGTGAGAAATCACCCCCAGGGGAGATGGCCACACCACGATCCCTTCTTCTCCATTCTTCTCGTGGGATCTTGGACATGCAACACACATATGCCCAGCGTGATTTTGAAGCCACCGGATCCCGGACTCAAACCATGGTTGTATTTGTATTGTGGGAGCCTGTTGATGTAACTGCTATGCCATCTGCTGGTCCCATGTCAGTTTCTTAATATATCCAGTTTGGTTCTTTGTTATGGCAGCCCTAGCAAATTATTACAAGGTGCGTTAGGTACCTGCGTCCAGCAGGGGATGACATTATACTGGGCAATATCCTCTCTGGCAGTCAGTTGTAATTTTCCCTTTGGGATTTTATAGTGTTTCTATTAGACCACGTGGGAGGGACTCAAGGAATCTCTATATGGGAGAATCTCCTCTGGTCACTATGAGTTTAAAAGTATGTAATACGTTAGTTTCATTACACACCCATATTGGAAGGAGGGAACACATAATCAGTGTATTAAAGTAGCTTAAGGTCTCTTTAATTTCCCTTCCTTATGACATACTTTGCTCAAAATCTATCAGTTGAATTCAGGTGCTTTCCTCCCCTTATAAGAATAAAAACTGGAGTTTAATAGTTTCAATGGATTATGCTGCCTTTCCTCCATGGCACCAAGAAGACTTTGGTATCTATATCCACAGCTATAGATGTTTGAGTCCTTTCCTTTCCCGAAGTTACCTAGCACATCCAACTTTTCCCCCTAAAGCAGCTGAAAGTTAGGGGAGAGGTAGAGTATGGATGGGGGCTTGGAGGGAAAGTGCGACTTAACTCCAGTAAGCAAGGCTTTAAATTTACTTCCAGTTTCAAATGGCCTCCAGACTTAACTAAACAAGGCTTTGAGTTTACTTTCAGTTTCAAATGGCCTCCAGTCACTGGGATCAAGAAATGTATGCTTTCCGTTTACTTGAAGTTATATACCCTCACAGCTAATACCATTTATTTCACCTTTGGAAATCCCTTTGACTCAGCAGCCCCAGCCACGTTACATTGTCTTTTGACTAGGGTGTGGGGCTTGCTGCCCCACTGTCATAACATCCTTTCCTTCTCCCATCCCAGAGGAGAGCCTGCCTCAACCAAAGCACCACTTGGATTGTCTCAGTCTTTTATTTTGTTGTTTAATCTCATTTAAAAAGATAGTGAGAGACCTTTGCTCTATCTTCCCACCCTCACCACCAACTTAGGCAAGAGCATTTACTATCAGACCTCAGGAGTTTTCTCGTTTCCTCTAACCCAACCAGCAAGGCCCCTTGTCCTTTCTTTTCCATAAAGCCTTATTTTTATCAGCATCTCATCCTTTTAACAAAATTATCAGGCCCTGTGGAGAATCTGAGATTTTACCTTACTTACAAACTAACAGGCTAGCCTGCTGCTACTTTACGGATTCTAGCAGAAGACAATGACTGACAGTATACAAGCAGCATGTGTGTGATGTGGGCACGTTTTCCACGCACTCTGGTCCTATGGAGGGGATGGAGGTGAGCCTAGGTAGGATGATGAAATGGATACAGTGAGTCCGTGACATAGCTAAAGAACACTGAGCTTGTGAAATCTACCCCTTTTGTTGTGAATGGTGAGCAGGCCTGCTCTTTGACCAGGAGGAGATGTTACCTCACTCTTCAAGGTTGCTCAGTGCAAACACAACTCAGGTATAGAACAGTCAGAGCCTGTCTCCTTGGCCTGCCCAGCAACAATGTGCAGGATGACTCAGAGCCGATGGCGAATAAGACTAGTTTTTTCTATTTTTTTTTTTGGAGAGATTTTCACTATAGGGCGCATGCGCTCGCCAGACAGACAGAGAGACATAGAGACAGAAAGCAAGAAATCACCCCCCAGGGAGGATGGTCACGCCGCAATCCCTTCTCGATTCTCTTCTCGGGATCTTGGGCACGCACGCACATGCGCCCGGCGTGAGTTTTAAGCCACCAGGTCCCGGTCGCAAACCGCGGTCGACTACGTGGGAGTCCAGCGACATAGCCATTACGCTAACTGCTGGTTCCCTAGTTTTTTCTATTGATCAGACTTTTTTTGTTTTTTGTTTTTGTTTGTTTGTTTGTTTGTTTTTGGTCTTTTAATTTCAAGGAAGGATGACCAGGAGAATATAGAGTAATAGCTGAACAAGTATACACTGGTTCAGAGAAAATACCCACATATACACATCCATCACTGTAAAAGTTCCCAGCTCATTTTTAATTATTATTATTATTACTTTTTGGTGAGAGAGAGAGATTTGCTATAGGGCATATGTGCTTGCCAGATTCTCCTCTTAGGATTTTGTGCAAGCATGCACATGTGCCCAGTGTGTTTCTAGCTGCTGGATCTAGGACTCAAACCACAGTTGATCATGTGGGAGTACAACATCTTAACTACTATGTCACCTGCTGCCCACACCCAAATGAATGCTTAACAACCTACAGCTGAGGTACATCAGGTCTGGCAGCCTTAACTATTCATAGACAGTTTTCAAGAAAGAAGGTGTCTTGGGACCAGCAGTTAGCATAATGGCTATGTCACTGGACTCCCACGTCGTCGACTGTGGTTTGTGTCCCGGACCCGGTGGCTTAAAACTCACGCCGGGTGCATGTGTGTGCATGTCCAAGATCCCGAGAGGAGAATGGGGGAGAAGGGATTGCTGCGGCGTGGTCATCCCCCCGGGGGGGTGATTTCTCACTTTCTATCTCTCTCTGTCTGGCAAGTGCATGCGCCCTTATGGCAAAAACCTCTCCACAAAAAAAAAAAATAAATA